GGTATGGGGTAAGGAGTAAGACCATAATTGGGGACCTGGGGAAGCATCTTACTCTGCAGGCAACCTCTGTTTGCAGTGCTCAAGGAAGCTGTGGGTTTGAAGTGGCCAGGAAGGCTGCTGGTTTGAAGTAAGGTGATACAATAGGTTGAGGAGTATTTATGGGGGCAACAGCATTGGAGATTAAGAAGCTGACAAAGATCAATTGGAGAGAAGAGTTTCATGGACTTTCCTGCCCATGCTGGCTTCACCATGATCCTCAGATCTCAGCCTCCTGAGTAGCTAGGATTACCCTGGCATCCAGCTATGTTTTTTGTTTGCTTTTTACTGCACTGTTTTGATTAGTATAGTTTTCTAATAAGTTTTGAAATGGGGAAATGTGATATTTCCAACTTTGTTTTTATTTAACAATATTGTGTTGGCTACTAAGGATGATTTGAGATTCTATATGAATTATAAGATAGGTTTAAAAATAATCTCTGCAAAACAAGATTTCATGAGATTCTACACATTTAATGGAATCCCTATCAAATATTGAAATACAAGAAATAGTAAGTAATATTGAAATATTAGCAGTAGTAAGTCTTCCAACCCATGAATGTGGGCTATTTATTTTAAATCATTTTTTTAAATACAGTTGCAGATTTTATTTGAATCAAATAAAAATCCATTTTGTCTTGAGAATTTGAAATGCATGGTATAAAATAAAATATGAAAAGAATGCATTATTAAAAATAAAATATGACATGACTGGAAAAAAAAGAAGCTGACAAATATACTACTACCCAATACTAGGTGTCTGACCTGATTAATATTGGCTAAGGATGGGAATAGAGTTGTCTGAAGAGAATTTGTGTGCTGTAATAGCAGCAAAGGATGTGAGATGCCTATGAGAGTGATGAACAAGGCCCAGGCATTGGTATATAATGTGTTTGCAGGTAAGGTCTTTAAGTAAAGCACTGCTCCCTGCCTCAGTCTCACAGTCTTGTTTTTGGACACAATTTCGCCTCCTCCTGTCTCCTTCCGTTCAGCTTCTGCTCTGAGGATACAGAAAGAAATGGCAGGGCAAAGTTTACTTCTGCAGAGGAGCATGTTACTGGCAGGGAACCAAGAACAAGCGTGCTGGGCAGACAGTCCACCCATGTTTTATCCCTAATGCCCTAAGGCTGAATGGATAAAGTGATAGCATTGAATTATCACCTGGGCATTAGAAGCCTGGGTAAAATGGGATAAGGAACCCTCTATTTATAGGTTGCTGTAAGTTATAGGAACCAGGACTATAAGACTTTTCAGATATAGTCAGTTTGATAGGGTTGAGGTATGGAATGACCAGACTTGACTAAGGGATACTGAGACCAGCCTCATTCCATCATTTGAACAACTGGCTCTGTTGTGAGCAGGACTTGATAGGCTCCCCAGGTGGATCACATTTATCTTCCTTCTAGGCATGAGTCTCCAGATTGGTGATAGTGAGCTGGAAACTCAAGGAATTTGACCAAGAAGGCCCTGCAACCTGGTTATTGGGGTGCCTTCTTGGCCCCTTTCCTGCATTGCTGATTGACTTTCCATTGAGGATCCACTGTCAGCTATAAGCCTGGAAGGTGAGCAAGAAAACAGTGTGGAGTGAGTTTTCGAGCAGGACAGTCAACTGTTTTCTATGTACCCATCCTGCCTTTCCACTCTGGGTATAACATCCTGGGCTATGGAGAGGCTTTCTATGCCAGACCTTGCAGCCACTGATCATCTCTGTAAGGGATGGCACACACCAACAGCCTGGACATGTGGGGATCCAAGCCAAGGGAAGGAGTGAGGTCAGGGTGCTAGTCTAACCCTCTTAGACTTTTCCCTGTGATCAAATGAGCCAACAAAATGTGGCTCGGTCAGATTTTTGTTTTTGAAAGTGCATTCTGAAGCCAGGCACCGGTGACTCATATCTGTCATCCTAGCTACTCAGGAGGCTGAGGTCTGAGGAATGCAGTTTGAAGCCATCCCAGGAAGGAAAGTCTGTGAGATTCTTACCTCCAGTTAAATCACAGGAAAAAGCCAGAAGTGGTGCTGTGGTTCAAGTGGTAGGGTACTGCCTTGAGCAGAAGCAGCTCAGGGACAGTGCCCCGAGTATAAGACTCAGGACTTGCAAAAGAAAAGGAAGGAAAAGAAAGAGAGTGGGGAAGAAAGAGAGGAAGGAAGGAAGGAAGGAAGGAGCACTCTGAAGGCTAGTGCAGAGAATGGGTTGTACAAGGGTCCAGTTGGAGAACTGAATTGAGAGCAGGTGAGGGAGATGCTTAGGGTCTGATCTGAATGTTGGCAGTGGGCTTGAAGAGGGATGGGTGAATGTAGGAGACATTCTGGAGGTGGTGACATTCTGGAGGTGGCAGCCATGGGACTTGAGGACCAATGGGACACAGGGAATGATAGGGGATGAGACAGAAACTAAGGAGTCTTCCTACTTCTCTCTGGTCTGGCTGAGTTGATCTCCCAGATACTATCAGCTTCACTCTCTCTCCTTCTCTCTTTCTCATTCTCTTACTCTTGTTCTCTATGTGTTTATTCATTGACATATATAATACATATAATTAAACTAAACCCAACACAAGATTCTTTTCCCTCATGATTTGCCTTTCGCCACCTAAAACTCAAAAGACAAAAGAACGTTGTGGTAAATTGAGGGCCCAGAGGAGTTGAGTTCTGGTTAGCTATGGTTTTGCTGTGCATGGGAAACTCTAATTACTGATCATGAATGAGATCCCTTTTCTCCCATACAGTTCTTCTCTGGATCTCAGTTTCCAAATCTGTAAGATGGAGGTGATGGATCGTTTCTACCCTATGCTTCTCACTGAGTCACCATGCGTCTCAAAGAGAATGAATGACAGGGTATTTTGTCAATAAGTCACAGTCCCAAATCTGAATCCTGTAAATTTGGCTCAAACAAAGGTGCATCATTATCTCTTATGAGATAATGATGGTGTTTCCTCTTCTTCCTCATGTGGGCTTTCTGTTTTCCATGCCTTGGAGTTGGGCGGCTTTTCCCCAGTTGCTTTGTATAGGCTTAGAAGAGTCAGGGAGGGGTGAGCCTGAGTGTCTTGATGTGAAGGACCTTGCTAAGAAACAGCATTTGAGGACTCACTTTGTTGGTTTGTAGACAACTGTCCCTGGTGACCTCAGCCTGTCCTCATCATTCAAGCAGGAGAAACACTCCTCAACATCAGATCTTGATGGAAAATCCCACTGCCTGGCTCTATGTGAAAAAACGAGAAGTGAGAAGTAGCAGTGTATTTTCCTAGTCTAGGTCCCAAGGTAGAATATTCTGACATCCTTGAACTGCTTCTTCCTAGGAATAAAGTGGCTTTTAAAGAAGATATTTTGATCTCTATTTTGTAACTAAGGAAACAGTCCTAGAGATGTGTGCTAACAGCTGAAGTCACAGAGCTGTGAAGTCAGAGCCAGGATTAACCAGCTGTCTCTACCACACCTTGATTTGTGACTTGTCAGGATGTTTGCTGTGTACCTTGACCTTGAATCCCAGGCTTGTGTACAGAAAGAAATGAAAAATGCAGCCAAACCAGGTATGAGCCATGCCTGTAATCCTAGTTACCCAGGAAGCTGAGATCTGAGGATTGCGATTGCAGTTTGAAGACAGTGTGGGCAGGAAAATCCATGAGGCTTATCTCTCCAATGAACTATCTATCAAAAGGTCAGAAGTGAAGCTGTAGCTCAAGAGGTGGAATGCTAGCCTTGAAACCAAAAAAAGGCTCAGGGACAAGTGCCCAAACCCTAAGTTCCAGCCCTAGGACTTGCATGCGGCAGTTAAGCTGAGTGCCAGTGGCTCACACCTGTAATACTAGCTACTTGAAAAGCTAGGATCTCAGGATTTCACTTCAAAGCCAGCCTGAGCAGAAAAGTTTGTGAGATTCTTATCTCCAATTAACCAGCAAAAAGCCAGAAGTGGAGGTGTGGCTCAAGTGGTAGAGCACAAGCCAGACGAGAGTGCAAGGCTTGAACACAGGTTCAAGCCCCAGTACTATCACCAAACATGCAGTTAATAGTTATTAAACATCTACATATGTTAGATCTTCCGTGGAATGATCTTTATGCCAAAATATCACTGACTTCTTGCAGCAAACCTGTAACCAGGACAATTTATTCCCATTTAGCATGTGTGGATACAGTCTTGAAGGTTTGGGAGAAATTTAATGCTTGATCCATAAGTTATAGAGCCAAGGTGATAAATCAATGTTTCTTCCAATACTCTGTGGCCTGAGATGGGGTGAGTGGGTAGTCAAAGAGCCATCTTGGACTATGGACAGACTGAGGGTAAAGTTAAAGTGAAAAGTAAACTTATTTCCCTGTCTAGGGTATCTGAAATCTGTCAAATTTTGTAGAGTCTGTAGACCAAAATTTATCTCCAAATACCTGGATGAATGAAAGAAATGTAAGTGGTTTACTAAGAAGAGGATACTGGGGCTGGGAAGGTGGCTCAGTGGTAGAGCGCTTGCATTGCATGCTCGAGGCCCTGGGTTCGATTCCTCAGCACCACATAAGAAAAAAGCCGGAAGTGGCGCTGTGGCTCAAGTGTAGAGCGCTAGCCTTGAGCTGAAGAGCTGAGGGACAGCGCCCAGGCCCAGAGTTCAGGCCCCACGACCGGACCCAAAAAAACAAAAAAAAACAAAAAAAGAAGAGGATATTAATTGGAATTAGCAATCAGTCTGCCCAGTGTTTTCATTTCATAGTTGAGGAAAACAGGTGGAGATGAGGAACTGCTGCTGGATTTGAGGCTGAGCCAATATTAGGTGTGAAGTTCTCCTTATAAATTTCTTGATAGTGGTACTAGATGCCAAGATCAGGTAAAAATGGGCTGTCTAATTGAGAGAAGTTATCATAATGTTTCACCATAAGTGGACACTGACCACCACCTGACCTTAATAGCAACCTCAGCTCTAGAGCATAACTTAGGTAGTTCATAGTCTGAATTAGTGCCTTTCTCTTTCATTGAGATGTAGAGCACAATGCAAGAGCCCAACCAGACTTTTGTGACAGAATTCATCCTTTTGGGCTTCTCTCTGAGTCCCACGACCACACCTCTGCTCTTCTCGGTCTTTCTGATGCTCTACTTGCTGATTCTTCTGGGCAATGGCTTGATCACCATCCTCATCTGTCTGGACTCACGTCTTCACACTCCCATGTACTTCTTCATTGGCACCCTTTCCATATTAGACCTGGGCTACACCACCACAACTGTGCCCCAGATGTTGGCACATCTGGCCAGCCAAAAGAAGAGCATCCCTTTTTCTAGCTGTGTGGCCCAAATGTACATTTTCTTGGTGCTAGGTGTCACAGAGTCTTGGCTGTTTGCCATTATGTCGATAGACAAGTATGTGGCCATCTGCCACCCACTCAGGTACAAGGTCATCATGAGCCCATGCCTGTGTGGGGCAATGGTAATTTTCTGTGGACTCTGGGGAGTCACCTCCGCTCTTATCTACACCATCTTTGCCATGCGTCTCCCCTACTGTGGCCCCAACAAAATCAATCACTTCTTCTGCGAAGTCCCTGCTGTCTTAAAGCTGGCTTGTGCTGACACCTCAGTCAATGACCATGTAGACTTCATCCTTGGTTTTAGTGTCATACTAATCCCACTGTCCCTTATCCTTGTCATTTATGTCAACATCTTCATGGCCATCTTGAAGATCCGTTCACCACAGGGACAAATGAAAGCCTTCTCCACCTGTGCCTCCCACGTTACCGTGGTCACTATGTTCTGTGTGCCAGCCATGGTCATGTACATGAAGCCAGGTTCTAAGGCCTCCCCAGAAGAGGACAAGAAGCTGGCTTTGCTCTACAATGTCATCTCTGCTTTCCTTAACCCCATCATCTACAGCCTCCGGAACAAGGATGTGAAGAGGGCTTTCTTCAAGGTGACAAGATTGGGAAGGGCTCCAGAATAAAGCCCTGAAAGGACAGAGAAACAAGACTCATGACAGATTGCCCTAAACACTCAATCATATGACTCGGCAGCACCAGTGCACAATCCCCTTCTGTTCCTCAACACAACTCTAAACACGTCTTTTTTCTGTTTTTGGTTGGTCATGGGGCTTGAACTCTGGGCCTGGGCGCTGTCCCTCAGCTCTTTAGTTGAAGGTGAACATTCTACCATTTGAGCCACAGTGCCACTTCTGGTTTTCTAGTGGTTAATCGGAGATAAGAGTACATAGACTTTCTTGCCCAGGCTGGTTTTGAACTGCAGCCCTCAGATCTCAGCTTCCTGAGTAGCTAGAATTACAGGCATGAGCCACCGGTGCCCAGCTTTCTAGACAAGTCTTTTGGGAATCACCCATTATTGAGTTGAAGGATCAGGACAGGAGGAAACGCCTTCTGGGCACATAAGTCCTTTTGTTGTCTTTTGTCCTAGGGTTTTGAACCTTGAAGGAGTTTGGTTTATGTCCTGTGGCTGAATCTTGAGAAAGATTCTCTACCCTCTGGAAACAACATATTATTAGACAAGCGAGATACAAGGACAGGGCACTGACTTGGAGAATTCCTTGCACAAAAGGAGGAATAAGTTTCAGATATGCTGATGACATAACTTGAGAGGGCTTAAGATAACTTGATGGCAATCCAGCTCCTCTGACTCACCTCAGGTTACCCCATCCCTTTTCTCCACATACACTTGACTTCTGCTGTTGCTTTTGTTATGGTGTGAATATGTAATGTCCCCTACATGTTCATGTATTTGGGACTTGGTTGCCAGCAGATGGGCATTTGGGAAGTGATTGGATTCTGAGGACTCTGACCAAATCAATGGATTAATACTTTGAAGGAGTCATAAAATGGTAGCATCATTGGGAGGTGGTGAAAAGTAGGAGAAGGGCCTCGTTGATGGAAGTAGGTCACTGTGGGTGTATTCTTGGGAGCTACATCTTGCCCTGGTCCTTTCCTGTGTTCCCTATAGTCTGTTTCCTGACTGCAGTGAGTTTCCAACTAGGACTCACTCCAGGAACTCAAGAAATAAAAGCAAGAATTGACAAATGGGATTTCATTGAGTTAAAAATCTTCTGCACAGCAAAGAAAACATCAGTGACATTACACAGAATTTTTCATCTGGCAAGGGACTGTCAAGTGGTAACAGAAAGGTGGACAACGGTAGGGAAGGGGGAAGGGGGGCTACAAGACAGGAGGATGGGAAGTAAATATAATGAAATACATCATATAAAGCATATAATGAAACATCATAATAGGGTCCACTCTTCTTTAAAATTAATAATAACTTATTTTTTTCAAAGAGCATAGGCACTAGATACTATCAAAAATGAACTGGATATCTTGTGAGTAGGAACGGGGGGAAGACAGAGAGAGCGACAGAAGGGGAGACATGGTTCAAAAAGAATTGTGCTCATTACTCATTGCCTGATACATGTGATTGTAACCCCTTGTGTATCAACTCTACAATAACAAAAGACAAAGTTTAAAAAACAAGAGTTAGGCAACAAAGCATGGGACCCGAGATTCCAAGACATAAGCTATAGGATACAAAGCTCTGATTCAAAGCACCTAGATCCTGTGCAGCACAGATATGTCCAGCTGTCTGTCAGCCCACTGTGCTACTTGTGATTCCTCCTAGTCTCTCTCCTTTAGCCCAAGTTCTAGTCCCACCTGCTCTGTCACCTACTGTCTGCCAAGGATGAGCCCTCCCTGGTCATAATGTCCTTGTCCTTGGAAAAATGCAAAGGACATCTCCACCTACCTCTTTTCATGCACCATCCTAAAGGATGGGAGAGGCCTTAGGAAAATATACTGGGGCATGGACTTCTTCCCCTTTCTCCCAGTTCCTGCCTCAGGCCATCTCTCCCAGGTCCCAAGCCCTTAGCTCTAGCCTGTCCTTTTGGCCAATGTTGGTCTACTGAGGGACAACACTGCATGCTGCCCCAAGGGGACAATGAACATTTACCGCCCACTCTTCTCTCAGCTCTTCCCATGGACTCTCTAAGGCTGGGCACTAGAGGGTGGGGGCCCGCTCACTGGACCCGAAGGGTGAGGTAGATGCTCATGATGGGCATGCACTCATGGATGATGCATGGGGTGATGTGTGAGACAGATGCTGGGCCAGGTCTGCCTCAAGCTCCCTCAGCTTGATTTGGGTGAAGCAAGAAGTTAGGACTTCTTTCAGAGGAAAAGATGGTCAAAAAGCCTGCTGGAATTGTCCCATCTCAACTCCATCCTCCTCCTCCCCCTCCTCTGTCATCTGATCTACCTTCCTCCCCTAATCCTCAAGTCTTCCAGGCAGAAGTCTAGACTCCAGTACAGCCTGCCCAACTGGCTTCTGCCATACTTCATTTCCTCCTCTAACCACTTCTGCCCGTTACCCCACCTTAAAGGTTGACTGGTCCAGTTCTTCCCAGGCTCCTTCCAGTTCATTTTGGTCCCCTTTCTTATTACTCCTCCATCTGTGTCATGACTCCTCCTTCCAGCCCTTCTGTCTAGTTCCCTGTTCTCCGCTCCCCACTGCAATCTGGCCACTCCTCCATCAGAATGGAAGAGACCACATCATTGGTGCCACCAGGATTTCCAGGACTGTAGGTTCCCCTCCCCTTGCTGGTACATGCAAAGACTGCAGGATGATGGAACCAACATTCAGCCTGAGGCATCTCTCTGGCTAGTTACAACACTCCTTCCCAGGGCCAGATCCTGGTTCTTATTACTGTATTTCCCTTCATCCTATATTGATAGTCCTTCAGGTGCCAGAGATACCTTTAACAATTTCCATGTTGCAATCTCTTCCTTTCCTCCCTGGCCTGATTCAGCCTGTAGAAGCCTAAAATTCACAACTGATTTCTCGGTGGAACTATAACTGAGAGAAAATTGCAGGACCAGTGACAGAGATAACGGGGGACTTAAGGGTGGGAGCTAAGTGAGAGCAGGAAAGGGTGCTCTGAGAACTCACACACAGGGCCTGAGGCCTCACTATGGACATATGAGGAGTAAGGTCTGTTTTGTTCTGTTCTGTGTTGCTCTCCTCTCTGACTCTACTTTTCCTCATCTTTGTCCTTCAGAACTAAGTAAAGAACTTTCTGTCCTTGGAAAACACCTCCTGACAGATAGGGATGGGGGCCTTCATTATGTTCTCATTAAACTTTCCAAAGGTTGAGTCCTTCAGTCAGCTACCTGGACTCTGGAATGTAAAAAGCAGCAGTGTCAGGGAGACAAGACTATGTCAGATCCAGTGATACCACTCTTGGGCATATAGTAAACCATGTTCATTGCTGCATTGTTCACCAGAGCCACATTATTATGGAAACAGCCCAGATGCCCTTTAATGGGCAAATGAATCAAGAATATATGGCATATATACATACAATGCAGTTTTACTTATCCATCAAGATGAAAAATATAATGTCATTTGCAAAAATCAGATATTTGGACCTGGGAAAAGTTCAGTAAAGTTAATTCAAGCCCAGAGAGACAAAGAACACATGTAGAAGTTAGATCTAATTTATAAACATATATGGAAACATATACAGGGTTGTATGTGTATGTACACAAACTATTAAAGTATGAGAAATGCAGGGGAGATTTCCAATGGTATAACTCCTTTGATCAACTAACTTATAGTCTAACAAAACTAATATCAAGAAGCTGGTACTGAAGGTAGAGGGTGAGATCAAAAGGAGGGGCTTGGTGAATGAAGGGAGGAAGGATCAGAGAATGCAGTCATAATAGGCACTGTGTGTATGTGAAAATTAAACTAGGAGAATTGAGGGAATTGGAGGGGAGAGATGGGGAGAATGGTGAGAGGGAATGGTCTTGATCACTATGCACTGCACTCATAAACTGATATGTTGAATTCAAACCCTTTTGTATAATTACTTTGAATGACTTGTTTCGAGAATAAAGGCCGTGGATCCACCATTGTGGAATAAGGCTTGGTGTAGGATGGAAGCCACTAGAGCAAGTTTCAGCCTAATAATCCCTCATCCGACTATTTTCATAACCTCCAACTGGCCTTCTTTCCAATGTTATTAGCAAACTAATCTTTTAAAAACACTCATGCTCACCTAAAGGTATATTGGCAAATATTTAACTATCATTCTAGACAAAATCTCTGACTTGTAGACTTTGCCAATTCTTTTTTTTTTTAGATGGACCAACACCATTTTATTAACTGAGACCTGAAGTCTCACACCTTGAAGGAGTGGATCTGATTTTTTTTATTTTATTGTAAAGATGCTGTACAGAGGGGTTATAGTTATATGAGTAATAATGAGTACATTCCTTGTCAAATGTTACTCACTCCTTTGTGGTTCTCCCATTATCCCTTTCCTCCCCACTCTCCCCTCCCCCCACCCCGTCCCCCACCAAGCCAAGTTGTAAAGTTCATTTCTGACATAGTGTCTTGTGAGTATCGTTGTTGCAATCCGTCATCCTTTGTCCTTCTTTCAGCATTTTGTTATTCTCCGCTCCTTCCCCAAATCAGATAAAGACCTATACATACAACATACACCTAGACATACACATACAACCCTGTATATATTTCCATATATGTTTCTAAATTAGATCTAACTTCTACACGTGTTCTTTGTCTCTCTGGGCTTGAATTAACTTCACTGAACTTTTCCCAGGTCCAAATATGTTTTTTGCAAATATGTTTTTGTAGGGTACCAGAATCAAAGACAAAAGGAAAAAAGAAATAAAATAAGAAGAAAGAACTAGGTTGATGGAACTATTCTCACCATGGTCAATTTCAAGCTGCCAATATGGTGTCACCAATCACAACACTGGAAAGACATAAGTACAATTGACTGTCGGGAGCCACTGTGATCCAGCTCCAGAATCTCAATGTGCCAAGTTACTTTCTTGAACAGTCTCCTTGATGCCCTTGATATTATAGACTTTGGGCTGGCCTACAAGATCCTCCATGCTCTGGTCCTGGTTATTTCTTCAACATCATCTC